CTGAGACCAGTGAGAGTGCCATTCTGGATCACATGAGAACTGATGGTCCTCCAAACCAATCATGTTGGAAGATGTTTGGCTGAGTGTTGTGCTCTCTGGGTCGTCTCCACACCCTCCTGCGTCGATCCAGAAAGTGTAAGCAAAACTTTGACTCATTTGTGAACAGCACAGATGACCACTACTGGATCATTCACCACCTGTGATGTCTTGCAGACACACTTGTCTGTGTTGCCGTGTCAAAGCAGTGCAAACAGATAGACTTCTGGCCCTCAACTGTGCTTCATGCAGACATCTCCGGACCATTTGAGTTGACACATATACCCCTGTTGCATTCTAGAACTCATTCTGGAGCAAATTGGCTGGAGACAAGCAATCCAGGCATGCTTGGAAGGTCAAGTAGCCGTCTTGCTGAGGTGTTGTCTGTCTCTGGCGACCACCACGTTGGTCCACCTGCCCATGCCTCCAGTACCTTATATCACACTTTGGGATGTACGGAGGAGAGTGGCTACACGGCACTGCATCTGGCCACCCTGGAGTAACCCAGTAGCCCAATTCAGTTCTGCTGGTGGTAAATGACTTCTTAGTCTTGTTGGATGCATTTTGAAATTTTGAATTTCTGAGGAACCAGCTTTGAAGTTTTTACTCGTGTGCATTAAACCAAAACAACAACAAAATCAATGACTAATACATATGGTTGTCCAACTTCATTTTGGAGACCCAAAAAATATACAAAGGTAAAAAAAGTCCATAAAATATGATCCCTAGCAAATGTCGACTAGTGTATAAGTCTGTCTGTCCAGCCTACTCTCTGTATATCTATCCGTGGCTCTGTTGCCTCTTTAATGCTTGATCTTAATTAGCATGTCAAATTAACTTCCATGCCATGCCTATATACATCCGAATAAATTAAAACTTAATTGTAGATACATTTTAAATTAAATTTGAAAATCTCATATATGCAAATCTAAACTATTAGCACTATTAATGGTTCACTACAGAGGTCTTGTTGGGAATGGGGTAACTTTCCACCCATCTGGACAGGTAATCATTTAAATTGAGGCAATATATTTCTTTTGAAGATTCCACAAATGGGCCAATGAGATCCACTCCAATCATTTGATTACGTAATGACTACTGACATGGGCATTTCACCATATCCTGCACGTTGCTGTCACGGGATATACACCTTGCACATTGCTCATCGATCTAATTGATTTTGGATTTCACCACACATTTGGGACCATACACACAATGGACAATAAAAGTGTCACCCCTACTGAACCAATCCTTTGGGGTAGATAAATGACTGTGGAATGATATGCTTCTGGTATCATTTTATTAACATTAAATTAAAAAAAAAAAAAGACAATTTCATGGTGCAGCGGTTTTATAATCATTAGCCACATTATAAGTAAACCAGGCATTATAACTACTCAAAGTCTGCCTACTTTGATTACTCTGATTCATACACTTAAAACTTCATTCTATGAATCTACATTCAGAGATTGCTAAAACTCCCTTTTGAATTAATTTTTCTGTTCTGTGAATAGTTCTCTGGGGTCAATGTCATCTTTGTTGATCGCTGTGATCGTGGTCCCTCTGCTGATTATTTAAGACTTGCACATTTTCAATCAGGGACTGGGATTGCTCCTGGCTTTTTTTTACTTAAAGTGAATGGTCTTGGAGATTTTTCCTCTTCTAAGTCTTGGTGAGCTCATCAATTGTAGAGTTGTCACTTTACAATGCACAATGTTACACAAGATTACCAAGTCTGGCCACATCTTGTTAAGGCTTTACCCTGTATATACAAACCTGCGCGAAGTTAGCACTGAACAAAAATTACAAACAGGCTCTCAACATGGACACCATTGTTAACTTTTAGGTTGGATAACATGTTAAACTTCTTTCCATATTCGTGGTCAAAATATTTAGTGTAAATCGCTATGAGGAAATCCAAGGCTGACAACAATAACCAGTTTCAATCATTTAATGTTCACTCATTGCTTGCTCAGGTACATTCTGACAATCTGTGGGAACTCTTTAATCTCAAACCAAGGCAAAGGATTCCTGAACTTAACTTCTTAATCAAATTAAGAAACAAGCTTACTTTACCTCCTTAAACTTTATACAACATATTCTAAGGAATTACTGACTAAAAACAAAGACATTATGTGAAGCTACCTGGTTTAGCCACAATTCAATAAACGTGACATTCATTAGTTGTTTAGAGCAACCCTTTCAGGTACACAATGATATATAAATCAAAGTTATATCTTACTTAGAATTACTACATGTGCTATTGATAATGTCTTTTCCCTTCCCCCATTTTGGGCAATTGAACTGAGACACTGCCTGCTGTACTTATATGATAAGGTTATTTAGGTGTAAAGCTGAGGGACTGTGGAAGTATTCTATTCACACATACTTGAATGAAGTCAAAAATTGAAGATGTGCTGGCATGCATTAGGTGTGTGTGAAAGTTATCTTCCAGAGTTTCTCAGTGGAAAGTCAAAGAAATAAACATGAAACAATGTTATTTTGACTAGTAATCTGTAATAAAAATCTAAGTGAAATTCAATAAAGCAACTATTCTGATTTTGGAACTGGACGGTATTTTGAGTTGTCTCTTATAACTACTCCGACATCGCGCATTGATAAATTGGTGGAGAAACCTGACTTTTAATTATAAATATTAAAAGGAAAAGATCCTGGTAAAAATATGAAGAAGTTTGCACAGAGAACATTGAGAAGTTTTACAGCAGCAAACAAAAAGATCAGTGGGGATGTTGATGAAGTAGAAGAAACTGTTAAAAGAAGTCCTCAATTGACATGGACAAAATCAACAGAAAATTTGCCGTTGCCAAATTATAACAGTACACTGCAGCCAATAAAACATTCTATAACGCAAGACAGCAGTCATGAGCCCACAGTTCCCTTGACTCGAGTGATCATCAGGCTACCGCCACAGAACCAATAGGACAACAAAATATGAATACAAACATTGTGCAGTCACTAAGACCTTCCCATAGTAAAGAGACCATCACATTGACCAGAGACCTTCAAACTCCAGTGTGGAGGAGCTCAAGAATCAAAAAGGACACAACATCGCCACATTAGAGATTTTCTTACAAGAACTCCACTACCTATAACTATACCTACAGCCAGAAATCAAGACTTTACTACAGTGACTTTTACAAGCCAACAAGCAAGTGGGCAAGTAGACACTTATGTTTTTATTACTGTGCCAAAACATTAACAGTTAAGGTCTCCTGTGCATGCCAACAGATTAAAACCCTACGNCAAAAAATGGAAACAGACTATGGATTGTTTTAAGTACCAGTCTCTGTAAGAATCAGAAAAATAACATAGGGGCATTGGAACATGACCCTCCCAGATTTTGTTTTCTTTTAATTTATTGTGAAGAACTATGCTAAAAACTAATAAATTGAGCCCGAAAAGTTGCATATTTAAAATAATTTATTTTTTAGAGCGTTTTATACTTAAGCCTTAAAATTTCCTCCCATATGCTTTTCTATATAAAATGTTCAGGTAACCCCATATTCACTGACAAATAACTCGTATGGCCGACGTAGTTATGTAAGATGGCTATACAAGATGTTTACAGCATATATTCAGCTACCAAAAAATAAAATAATTTTTTTTTCAAAACATAAAATGGTTAAATTACATTAAAAACCATCAACGCTAAAACTACGCGAAAAAGACCATCTGCGCATGCGCAGTAGCGGTGACTGCTAAACTACGAACTCATTCAGATGTAAATAAATTGAATTAACGTTATTTATCTCATGAAATGGATATTTTTTGGATAAATGGCACTTGTCTTCTGGATCATTTATTGCTTGGATTGTTTTTATGCCGACTGGTGTGTAGTATTTGTTTCCACACATCGATTTTTTTATATACAACATAACTAATTTTATCCAAGATGGCGGGAGCTCTGATTGCCGTCGGTTTCGTATGTGGAAGGAGAATGCACACAGTTATTTATTTACGGCATGATATGCAGTTTTTCATAAATTACCCACAAGAAAGGACTGGTAGAACTTTATGGTCGTATATAATCGGCCTTACTAACTATGGATATCAAGAAAACTACCAGGTACATGTACCACTGTGAAAACCTCGTCTTCTCCCTCACGTGCAGTTGCCGTTAATATCCGATATAATCGACAAATACGTAAAGCACTGTCAGTTACTATACTCTAAATTACAGTCAGTGTCAACTATGATACAGGTTTTCTAATAAAGTTTTGATGTTCAACGTGAGTTTGTGTTTTACGGCTATTTACTGCTTGAGTATGGTCTACCTCCAATTTAAAACAGCGCCCTGTAAGGCCCGTCGTGCCCTCTCAGGTACTTGAAGTCGATAACAGAACAGATTATTTGAATACTTAATATATGTAGTAGAAATTGATGCTCATACAAGTGGAAGAAATTTCTAGTTCTTCACAACCAGGATTCTAAATAAAAAACCTTGTCAAATAAAATAGACATGTAAAAGATATCTGTCAATAATAATAATATTCTTATATGGTGCCTTACGTGCTACCTCAAGGCGCCTTACAATAATATAAATCTTTAAATCTGAAACACTTGGAAACCATTTCAAATTAACACAACTAAAAACAATATATATATATATATATATATATATATATATATATGAGATATAGACAGATTTCAAAATGTGAGTTTTAAGAAGGGATTTAAAACTGTCAAAGTTGTCTGCTTTTCTTATAAAACTTGGTAAGGCGTTCCATAATTTGGAGGCATAGATTATAAAAGCCCGATCTCCATAACACTTGAGGCACCCCTTCTCTAAAACAGAGTGTTCTAAAATAAGGTCATTCTCAGTATTAAAATGTGTGGACCGCCATGGTGAGTTAAAACAGATAGGATCACATAAATATAATGGTCCTTGTGTATGTATCGCCTTAAAAATAATACAAAGTACAAGCAGCCAGTTTTATCCTTTCAGAATTTAAAAATGGCATTCTGACACACAAAGATATCATCACAATGGGGATTCTTCTACAGAGTACTTCAAGATAACATTATTCAAGATCACTCCAAAGTATTTGCCTAGACTAATGTTTTGTCATAATATTCTTATTTTAAAAGAAAGAACACTAAGAAACATGTGAATGAACACTAAGAAACGTATGGTTTTATCAATTTTTTTTCTTCTTTTCCAATTGTTTCTTCTTTTTGTTTATCACATGTATAGAAACTACTGACTTAAGCTAACTCATGTTCCCGCAAGTTTTATATCACTACATCTCTATATTTTGAGTGTCACAGAACTTACATTTCTCCACTTTCTCTGATGTTGGTACATTAGTTGCCTCCACAACTTGGCTCAAGGGTTGTAACTCTACAGTAATTCATTAAAAAATTCAAATTAATCAAATGTTCATTAAAATTATTCTAAGAATATGCATATCATATATTTATAATATTATCTTAAGTTTTTTTTTTTTTTATGATTAAATACTTTCTTGTTTCAAATTAGAAAATGTTTCTGCAGTTAATCATCTCNTTTTTTTTTATGATTAAATACTTTCTTGTTTCAAATTAGAAAATGTTTCTGCAGTTAATCATCTCGACACTTTTACATATACTGTAAACATGTTCTAGTTCTAGTAGTTAGTTGTACACACACAGAAATTACCTGCATGACTTGCCCGGATTTCCTCATGTATCTTTCTGGTGTTAACAGCAAGCAAACGTGATATTGCTGGCCCATGACACTCTATAAATTAAAATAATAATTTTATTATTTGTCATGAAATACAAAGAGACTGAGGTGATCTAGTTGCTGTTAATAAATAATAAACAAGGAGGAATTAAAAGAATTGTCCTTGCAGATTAATAAATCTTCAAGTCGTATATCAAGAATTGAAATATATGAAGTAAATGAATTTCAATATTGAAACACTTTTTAATTCTTGTACAGTTATTCTTACCGGCTTCATCTGAATTCCAACCCTCCTTTACAAGAACATAGTCAGTTTCTATACCATTAGTGATTGGATCATTATCTTCATCATATTCCTTTCCGAGTAGCCGTTTTCTCAGGCGTGTTTTACCTGCACCGTAATGGCCTAGCAACATCACCCTTGCCCTCTTCACTCTTTCAAAGCCATCCTTACATGCTCGTTGATATGCTTCTTGCAGTAGTGGGTCTTGTCTATTGATTTCCTCTGAAAACTGATCTGAAACATTAAAGCTGCATTTTCAGTCATAGTTCTGTTACAAAACTCAACCAAACATCACTATATTGTTTCAAATACAAAGTGGATATTTTAAATGGAATATATCAGATCCACAAAAAAAGAAAAAAATACCTAGTAAATAAATAAATAAATAAATAAATAAATAAATAAATAAGAAAAAAATAAAGATGGTATGAGAATGATTAAAAATGTTTAACAAGAAATGCAGTACACAGCCATGCATCTGTCATTCCCATAGCTGGTTCCAAGTTGAACTTCTTATGTCCTCAAATCTCCAAAATAATTATTTTTCTATTTTAGTTTTACATGGTAGTTATCAGTGGCATACACATCTGTAATGTATCAATACTGGTATCTGGCAGGACACATGCACTGTGCAGATGTTGTAAATTGTACTGTTATTGTACAATAACATCCTCAAATTAAAGAGATAACAACTGTTTATTTTGCCCCCCCCCCCCCCAAAAAAAAAAAAATTTACTGGGGTAAAGGACAATTTTTCCATACTTACCCATCAGGGTGAACAATTAAATGTGGTTAATGTTACAAGTGTCTGATAAATTAACAATTTATGATTAGAGATTGCTGATAGACTGATATCAAAGACACTGTTCATAGGAGCAAAATAAAAAAGAATTATAATAATTGGACTACAATTTACAAAAATATGGCCAATTATGTGTCCAAAAAGTACCTATTTCTAGCTGTTACGATGGTATGATTAGGTTATTTAGGTGTAAAGCTGAGGGACTGTGGAAGTATTCTATTCACACATACTTGAATGAAGTCAAAAGCTGAAGATGTGCTGGTTGATTGGGGTATGTAAAAGGAAGAAAAGTTCAAAGAATTGTCTTGCTATTGAATTGACTATAGAAGAGCAGTTCATTATTTTGCCCATCAAAACGTTTTAGCCAAACAATTACAATGTCACATATGAAACCATATTGACAAGTGTTTATCTCACCATAGGAGATTTTCCAACAATTAATTTTTGAATGGGGAGATATAAAAATTATCAATCAAGTCAACAAAAAAAAAAAAAGTTCTTATCTTGCCATTTAGTTTCAAATAAACTGCTGGAAATACTTTAAAATAATGAAAATATTCCAAGAAAATTTTGATGCCAGAATCATTTTTCTGCATGATCAATTTCTGGTTTATCATTGAATAAATATTTTTTTTAAGATAGGAGAGAAATTAGCATTGTGCCAATATTAGATTGTTTTAATGTAAATAAACAAAAGGAGGATGGTTTACTCAAATACTTGCTTCATCTGCACTTGTTTTGTTATGCCTAGCTTTTGTTTGTAATAAATATATATTACATTTAGTCAAATTTAATTGTGCCATATTGTTTTGTTTAATGTCATGTTAAGGAATTAAGTAGATTTAGTATTTTTTTTAACTTTCTATATAATTGTTTTATTTCACTATTAAACAACATTTATAACAAGTAATGAATTATAAATTTATTATTCAGTTTAAATAGAACTTAATGAGCTTATCAATGTTATAACTAACATTTTTCTTTATTTACCCACATATTTTTGCATGTATTTTCACTTGTATATATATATATATATATATAATTTTCATTTTTTTTTTTTTTTGGTTTGTTTGTAACAGGAATCATTAAAATGTTATTGAAATGGGAAGTGAGTATTATTAGTTGAAGAGTAAATATCCTTGATCAATAACGGATAATATATATTAAATGGTACAATTTAACAGAATGAACAGAAGATACTTAAGTGTTACTAATAAATTGAGTAGTTTAAATGATATTTTTATTGTATGATACTGATATGGATATATAAGTAAGCAAATGATTAACATTTTTTATTAAGTGAAAATGTTATGTTGCTTCATACTACATAAACATTAAATGATTATTTGTGCTGAAATATTGACTGAATGACAACTTATTAATATACACAATATATTTATATGTATGCTTAAACATATTTTAATGGATTATAAATTTTATCTTAAAATAAGATAATGATTACAAGATGGAAGTAATCATAATTGATTAACTAGTGTTAATTTTTTTTAGAGATATGTATTAAAGGACTGAAGGAGTATTAATTAGAAGTATATAGCCAATTAATACAAATAAGATATGTTATGTTAAATTTTAGTATATTTGCTGTAGGGAATGAGTATTATGTAATGTTACTTTATAATTTTTTTATTAATTCAAATTTTTTTTTTGTGTGCATACTAACAGTAATGAGAAGTTTTATATAAACAGAATATGATATGATTAAATAATGTTTAGGTATCTTTAATTAAGCATGATTTTAAATAAAATGATTTAACTGTTATGATATAGAATTTTATTGGAAATAGCCCAGCTAGAATGGGAGCCCCGGCTGCCCACAGGAGCCCAGGCTGCCAGAGAGACTGCCAGGGAGACTGTCCTTTTGCAGTAGGGGCTCCAGTGTGCAGTCTCCTTGAGCAGGCAGACTGCAAAGGGGGCTGCAATAACTTAAATATTTTTGCAGGGGACTGCAAAGGAGGCTGCAATAACTTAAACATTTTGCAGGGGACTGCAAAGGAGGCTGCAATAACTTAGGCATTTTTGCAGGGGACTGCAACGGGGG